AAGCCACGGGGCGGTGGACATGCACTATCCGAGGCTGACATGCACTATCCGAGGCCCCTTTGTGGCAGCTAGTGGAGATCCACGTGGAAAGATATAGCAATGATGAAGATCTTTATTTCAATGATTGACGTGACGTTTGTGTAAAGTATATTTGTGTCTTGTCTTATCAGTGTAAGAACATTTAATACTTTGTAAGGTTAGGAGAGTCAACTTGATAGCAAGGACTTGATGTCTTGGCCGAGGAGATGAGGCCACGTGTAAATTGATCCAAAGGTCATCATTTGATTTGTAACGCTATAAATACCCCCACTATACGACACAATGGGGCTAATGCAAATTCTGAATGAAAATCTAAACACTTGGAGCAATTTATTTCTCTCTTTCGTTTATAAAGTGTATTTCTACAACATATTTTCTACCAAAAAGTTGTGCTTTACCGATTAGTTTCTTATACAATCGTGTTACATAAATCTTGCCGGAAGCCCGAACGGAGACGTCTCGTGTCATTGAGCTACTCTCACGTTCAGTTTTTGGAGTTGTCTTGACCATTGATCGGCATTAACATGTTGGATCAAGCTCGCGTGTGCACTGGTGGGCCCGACATCTGTTGGCAACATTTTTCGAGGTCAACAACTCTCAAATAAGTTATTATTTTATGAAAAAATTGAGTACGAGTACAAAATTTCTCAATCCAAATTGAATAAATATTCATTTTCGAGTCCGCTTTTATGGATGTCATTGGCTTAAATTCTTAGTTTGGAGATTTGAAGGCTAAAATGGTTTGTTAGAGACTTGTATGGTATATTTTGCAAAGTATAGGGACCGCAATGTCAAATGTCATGTCACCAACAATAACATAGAACTAAAATCACTATCACGTTTTCACTGTCCATGTGCCGTACTCTTAAAGAATCTGTCCTCGTGCATTTTGTCTATTACAAATCTGATTCTTTGTTATTGCTTCCTACCTGCTCAACAACACAGGTATATTTCTTGATGCTGTTCAATGTTATTTCCATTTTCGATTATTTCAAATTCTTGATTCTTTCTTCTTACAATTTGTTTCTGTAAGTATGTGTTTGCAAAAGAAATGCATCTTTCTGAAGTTTCGTTTTGGGTGTTTGATTTTAGAGGAATTTATTCAGCTTATTTACGTTGTTTACAGAATTACATTGGTTAATAGACTGATAGAAGCCAGAGATTTTTTAATCTTTACTGTTTATCTTCGCCAAAAAGTATGGCGACTATGACCCAGCTCCGGTACTCTCCACTTACCGGCCATTATCGCCATTTCACTCACACTCGTCATTTTACCAATTTCGCCCCCAGATTTGCCGATAATACTTTCCCGAGCACCATTTCCCTTTGCACTGAAACTAAACCGTTAAACCCGAATTCGACAGTCAAAGGTTATATCCCCTGTGCTGGTGGTGGAGGTGGTGATATTGGTGTTAGACATGGTGGTGGTAGTGGTGGATATAGCGGTAATGGTGGTTGGAATCATGGCGGAGACTCTGATGAATCCAGGTCTTCGTTGGATGGTTTCGAACCAATTGGGACTTTTGTAAATGGATGGAGATCGAGGGTTGCAGCAGATCCAGAATTCCCTTTTAAGGTTCTTATGGAGGAGTTGGTTGGTGTTAGTTCTTGCGTTCTTGGTGACATGGCATCACGTCCTAATTTCGGTCTCAATGAGCTTGATTTTGTGTTTTCAACTCTAGTTGTTGGTTCCATTATGAATTTTGTTCTCATGTATCTCTTGGCTCCAACTATGTCTTCCTCGAGTCAGAGTCTTCTACCAATCTTCGCGAATTCTCCTACAAGCCACATGTTCGAACCAGGGGCTTACAGTCTGTTGAACAGGCTTAGTACATTTGTATACAAAGGGACTCTGTTTGCTGCCGTTGGATTTACTGCTGGACTATTTGGAACTGCTCTTTCGAACGGGTTGATAATGATGAGGAAGAAGATAGATCCGAATTTCGAGACACCAAATAAGCCTCCACCTACAGTTTTGAATGCTATTACTTGGGCGATTCACATGGGTCTTAGCAGTAATTTTAGATACCAGACTTTGAATGGTATCGAGTTTTTGCTAGCCAAGGGAGTTCCACCAGTTGTATTTAAGTCATCGGTTGTGGTTTTGAGATGCTTGAACAATATTATTGGAGGGATGTCATTTGTGATATTAGCAAGGTTGACGGGATCACAGAGCATTGATCAAAATAAGGCAGGTACTATCAATGAAGGATCAGCCGAAGAGAAAGAGAATCTGGTGAATGCGGCTGGTGAATTGCAAACTAGCGAGGCTACTTCCAAGTAATCCCCCCTTTGTTCTATCTTTTAATCTTTAATAAAAAGAATTTGCTTGCATTTTGAATGAGAAAAGACAGTATATTTTGTCATTATGTTTTCCATAAACCTACAATTACGTACTTGGATTTGAATTCTTGTGTTGATAGGTCATGACAATTAACTTATCTCACTATGAGATTTTAGTCAATGTGAAAGACGAACATTAAGCAGTATTTGATGTTATTTCTAGCACATTATCGAGATAATTCTTATGGAAAAGCAAAGAGTATAGAAGCTTCAAGTTTTGGAGTCCGAGCAAATGGGGTGTGATAACCTAAAATTTTATGGGAAGTGTTAGTTTGAGAATGCTAGTAAGATGAAAAAATGACCCAAAACTATGAGGTAATACATAAATGCAAAATGGTCCAGACTTTTGGATGACTCGACTTGCATTTGGTACAGCTCGGGACTCACCATGCCGTTGGCTGATCTGCCAGTAAAGCTAGGTTGTGTTAGGCATTCTAAATTTTTAAAAACTAACGAGAAGTTATATAGAGCTAATAAGCCTAACATATACGAGTAGAACCATCCTTTAACGGCTGGATGATATTAAAATCACTGAATATCACTTTTGAAGGGCAATGCCATTCAGGGTGCTTCAAATCAAAGTAGAAAGGACATAATAAAAGTAAAATGACAGCAAACATTTTCTTTAACCCTGAGGCATTGCAAATGTTTACAAGCTAAGAGCATCTCCAAAAAACTCTTTAAACATGAAATGCTCTCTATTTTAAAGAGTCAACATTTAAAATCATGCTCGAATAGACTCATTAAATTAACTTTTTAATTTGGAGAGTCAAACTCACTCTCTATAATCAAATGCATTCAAAGTGTTTCAATTTTCAATGTAGGAAAACAATAAAATAATCTTAAAAAAAGTTAGTTAAAATAAAAGATAAACAAAAATAATAAATATTTTTTGGGAGTAATAATATTAAGTGTTAAATATAAAGAGTTTGTTGGATTACTTCAAAATTTTAACTCTCTAAATTTATAGATGCTCTCCAAATGATAGAATATACTCTTTAAA